TTTTGATTGGTTCTCAAAGCTTGGATGTTTTGATTGGTTCTCAAAGCTTGGATGTTTTGATTGGTTCTCGAGTTTAATTAAAGCATGAGGTTTCCAAAACACTCGTAAACTTCAAAACTGAAATGCTGTCATCAGATCAGCAAGCTGATACAAACTCACCTTCCTCTCTTCTCTTAGTTTTGCTTTTCGTTGATGCTCTTTCATGAAGTATTCTCCACTGGCTATCTCCTTATCCAGCTGTGAAGTTAATATACAACATTTCAATGAGGTACCACAATGATAATAATTTCACTACAACAATTTTACAGAACAAATATACCAGTACAACATAAAAGCTGGACACATAGTGACTGGCAAAAACTTTTAATAAGCACATTCTCGTCAAGAAAGTTGTGAAAGTCACATTAGAATCCAATGAATAAAGTGAGGATGAGTATAGAATATACATTTTATTTAAACTTAAGATTCACTCACTTTGCTTTCTGGTTGTGGTGGGGGGAAAGGTGTATACTGTTTTTTTGTTCGTTTCTTCTTTGGTTGTTTCCTCTTGCTCTGACTCTTGGGGTGAAAGTTTGGTAAGAATCGATCCCAGGATTCATTTTTCAATTGTTCATCTTTTGAGAGTTCTCTTTTAATCATCAGAGTCTGTAAAATAAAGGAACAATTAACATTTTATTTAAAGTTTTTAGAAGTCAGACATATCTACACCCACTGGACCAAATTTAACAAGAATGAGGTGGAATTGGTTTGTATACCAACCTGAAATGGTTTTGTGAGTCATGTGCCCATCTACACCCACTGAGCCCAATTTAGACATAATGAGATGGAATTGGTTTGTATACCAAACTGGAATGGGTTTGTTAGTCATGTGCCCAATTATACCCACAGAGCCCAATTTAGACATAATGAGGTGGAATTGGTTTGTATACCAAACTGGAATGGGTTTGTGAGTCATGTGCCCAATTATACCCACAGAGCCCAATTTAGACATAATGAGGTGGAATTGGTTTGTATACCAAACTGGAATAGGTTTGTGAGTCATGTGCCCATCTACACCCACTGAGCCCAATTTAGACATGAGGTGGATATGGTTTGTATACCAAACTGGAATAGGTTTGTGAGTCATGTGCCCATCTACACCCACTGAGCCAAATTTAGACATAATGAGGTGGAATTGGTTTGTATACCAAACTGGAATGGATTTGTGAGTCATGTGCCCAATTATACCCACAGAGCCCAATTTAGACATAATGAGGTGGAATTGGTTTGTATACCAAACTGGAATGGGTTTGTGAGTCATGTGCCCAATTATACCTGCAGAGCCAAATTTAGACATAATGAGGTGGAATTGGTTTGTATACCAAACTGGAATGGGTTTGTGAGTCATGTGCCCATCTACACCCACTGAGCCCAATTTAGACATGAGGTGGAATTGGTTTGTATACCAAACTGGAATGGGTTTGTGAGTCATGTGCCCAATTATACCCGCAGAGCCCAATTTAGACATAATGAGGTGGAATTGGTTTGTATACC